GTTAACTTTATTTAGTATTTTTGCCACAGTCTTGTTTTTTGTGCCATTGCCTTGTTTTTGTCACAGCCTTAGCCATAGTCTTGTTAACTTTATTTAGCATTTTTGCCACAGTCTTGTTTTTTGTGCCATAGCCTTGTTTTTGTCACAGCCTTGCCATAGTCTCGTTAACTTTATTTAGTATTTTTGCCATAGTCTTGTTAACTTTATTTAGTATTTTTCCCATAGTTTTGATACCTTGCCACAGTTTTGTTAATCTTTATTTGATACTTTGCTATAGCCTTGTTTTTGTCACTGCCTTGCCATAGTCTTGTTAACTTTATTTAGTATTTTTGCACTGGTTTTGATACCTTGCCACAGTTTTGTTCATCTTTATTTGATACTTTGCCACAGCTTTGTTCACTTTATTTGATACTTTGTGTTCACAGTCATGTTAAATCTTGCTTTGATACTTTGTTCATAGTTTTGTCTCCTTGTTTTGAACTTTGTCTTGACGTCCACTCTTTTTGAGTGTGTTTTATGTTCAAATAAACCCTGTTTTTTACCTATCTCCGCAACTGAGTCCACCCTGAGATCCATGAGCAAAGGTTACGCTCTCGGCTTTTTGCTCTCCGTTTTCCGGTAAAGAGAACGGGGCGATCTCCCGGTTGCCGTGGTGACTGGACATGTGTTTCCGCTCTGGTTCCCTGTGCAGGAACGGCCCTGGTGGTGCAGTGGGACCACGTCCACCTGCAGGACAACTACAACCTGGGCAGCTTCACCTTCCAGGCCACGCTGCACGACACGGGCCGAATCGTCTTTGCATACAAAGAGGTTTCTGTTTATTTTCTATTTTCCATTTTATCTCTCCAGATAGGTATCACTTCTCCTCTTAATCCCCTCCCCCCTGTCCTTCTTTGTGATGTTTTTAATTAGATTTCCACACCGACTTCCTGCCACTTAAATGGCTGTTTTAAAATCCTGTTGTTGATTTACGACACGGGTTGGATTACTGTTTCCCGAACCGGGATTTAACATGAAAGCAACAGAGTTACGCAGCAGAAACTCACTGGGAATCCTTTTATTTTTGATCAGCTCATTCCTGTCTCATTCTGCACTTTTACAGTCTGTATTTTAGCCTGTTTGTAGACATTTTATCTTTCTTTTTTGTTATTACGTTCTCTTATGAAACACTTTGTGTTGCTTTGTACAAAGAGGAAATACACAAAAACTAATTATGGCAAGAATAGGAGCCCTAATCTTATTACAAACATGTCGTTCTTGTAAAACGATCCGAATCGAGTAGAAAAATGGACGCACTGTTTGCACAGTTTAAAAGAAAGTGTAAGTCAGCTCACACTTCCCCCAAATCCCGGCTCATACCGTCTGTTTCCCTGCTGCTTCCAACTCTCAACGCTGTCTAAAACATCTCAGTCATTCCGATATTTGGCACTGACTGTCTTTTAAACGAAGAGGAAAAAAGATTTATGCTCTTTTCCCATCAGCCCACAGCAGGGTGGCGAGAAAGATGTCCCAAAAAGTGTCAAAACTACATTATTAAACACTTCCCCTGAACAGAAACAACAACTAAAACGGGGAGGAGGAGCCACTCCCACAGGAGTTATAACTAAAGTGTTATTTTCCCACATTAGGAGACCAGTCGGGGTTTTTTATTAGATCTTCCATCGTATAAAAACAGCCTGACCGGTGAACTAAATCCAAGCTTTTACATAATTGCAAAGTTTCCCGTCAGGATTAATTTGAGTAACTCCAGCTTTGCTCACTTATGAATTTTACAAACTCATCCTCGAGTCATGTTTAATCAACTCTGTATCCTGGTGTGAAGTGTATATACCAGATTGTGTTTAAGCTCTCGTAACACGGCTGATTTATTTGATTTTTTTTCCATTTCAGATCCCAGTGGAGGTGTCGGAGATCAGCTCCGTGAATCACCCGGTGAAGGTGGGCCTGTCTGACGCATTTGTGGTGGTCCACAAGATCCAGCAGATACCCAGTGAGTCCACGTCTACCCCAAGCTTTTGTTTTTTAGCTAATACTTTTTTTTCTCCTTTTTTTCTTTTTTTCTTTTTTTTCCGGTTTTTCTTTTTTTTCTTTTTTTTCCCTTTTTTCACCCTTTTTTTTC